AAAAAATCGTAACTGTGTCTGTCTGGAAACTAATGCACTCTCAGATATTCAAAGTACTTTTTGTTTATCTCTTCTTTGTTCCACTTATTTTACTTTATATTTGCTTGTATGTTTTGAATCTATATTTAGATGGTTATAATTCCTAACATGCAATTGTTTTGATTTATTATTAACTTGCGGTTATTTAAAAAAATAGCCTACTTATACAAGTGATTTAATAAAAATGCACAAATAAATTTGATATTCAAAGTCAGTAAACTAATTAATAAGAAAAATATAGATCAATATTTTTTTTGGAATCACATATCTTCCATTTGTTTAATTAATAACAGATATCGGAAGTAAATTATTTACAGATCATTGCAAATACTTTGCTTTAAAAGTACCAAGTGAGGAAAAATAAATAAATACTATACAGAAAAAAAACATCAATATGCATCCATAATCATTTTATTATCACAATGCAGCCCTCTGAATCATAACTGAGTCGAATTGTGAGGTGCCTAGAGATTCCCACCCCTACTAAATAAATAGTGAAACCAGGAGTTTAAAAACACTTTGGAGCATTATTTACATGGGAGGATCGATCATCTCAATACAAGAGCAGATCTGCTCATCTTCACATGAATCAGTTCATGCTGAACTCAAATCTTTTCTTGAAGAATGTGTCTGAAACATGCGCTAACCGGTAGGCCGTGGCTCTTCTATTCCCTGTTTCCCATGTCGTCTGTCCCGTTAAATTCTCTGGCAGCCTCTTCTGTTTGCGGATTCAGCCCTTCCTCTACTAGTGTTGACATGCTATCTTTAATCTACACAATAGTCTGTGATCCCTCACTCCTGTCCAGTCTAACTCTCAACACATTTACCTGCAGCAGTCCTCCACTGACCTCTCCTGCCATTACCTTACATAACCTCTCCTCTCTCTGTTTTTGTGTAAAAGAAATCAAAGTAATTAGAACTACCACATGACCACAACAAACAACTCTGCCTTTCAGCAGTTGGGGACAGCATGACATGCCCACAGACACCCATGCACATTCTCACTGTTGTTTCTGCACCATTATATTGCTATTGCTTAAAATGCGACCCAAAAAAAGCCCTATGTTTCTCATTCGATGTCGCTCCTAATCTCTCTATTTCTCTTCCTCCCACATGCAAGCATTTTAGAGGACCGAAGCCCATTTGGACTTCCTCCCCTGGGCTGTGCATGTCCTTGCCCTGCTGTGGAGACTTTACTCACAGAAGTCTCAGGGAACCTGTAGGAGCCTTCCAGGCCAGACAGACTGACAGAGACAGAAGTGAATAAGATAAAGGCTCCGCAGAGATTGACTCACTGCAGCGTAAACCACTGTCTGTTAAACGACTCAGAGGGTGATTTGGGTGATTTTTTTTAGTGTCTTGCTTGATAGAAGCCAAAGTGAGATTCTGCAGGACTCTCTGCAGTTCAGTTTTACTATAGACTGTAAAATCTCTAGAAGCAGATTTCCGATGTGCATGTCTACTAGAGGTTCAGCAAGAAATCAGTTATACAATTGGCTACATTCACAGTGTCACTGTTTAGAGATGACAACAGTATACTAACAGATCTGAATCAATCAAATTGACCTGTTCATAATTACAGTCCAAATGATGCATGTAACCAATGACCAAAGTCAAAGATGCTGGCTTCTAGATCACTAGAACATCTTAAGACAATCGACACAAAGCTATTTAATAAAAAAATAACAATAATCCAAACACTTTCCATATACAATTTTTTAAATATACACTATATATTTTTTTTGTCTTAAGTTTTTACGTTTTAAATTTTAAACAGTAGTGTATCTTTACCTTATATAAAAAGTATTACTTTATTTATTTTATTTATGTATTTTTTATTTTTTTATTTATGAAGCAGCACAACTGTTTTCAACATTGATAATAATAGGAAAAGTTTATTGAGCCGCAAATCAGCATATTATAATGATTTCTGAAGGATCACGTGACACTGAAGACTGGCTGCTGAAAATTTTGCTTTGCATCACAGGAATAAATTACATTTTAAAATATATTCAAATAGAAAATGGCTATTGTAAATTGTAATAATATTTCACAATATTACTGTTTTACTGTATATTAAATAAGTGCAGCCTTGATTACCTTTCATTCATTCATTCATTTGTTTATTCATTCATTCGTTCATTCATGCATGCATTCATTCATTCATTCATTCTTTCATTCATTCATTCATTCATTCATTCATTCATCTTATTTTTCAATTGATGGCTGGAACAAGAGTCCTTCAAATATTTAAAGGGATAGTACACCCAAATATAAAAATACACGTCGCCATTTATTAAAACCTGTGCATTTCTTTCTTCTGTGCAGCATAGAATATATTTTGAAAAATGTCTTAGTTTGGAAGTCAATGGGAAAATGGTTTGGTTGTTTACCAACATTATTCAAAATATTGTGTGTGTGTGTGTGTGTGTGTTCAGCAGAAAAAAATAAATCATATTTGTAACAACATGAGGGCAATTACAGTAAATGATGACTCAATTTTTTTGGGCTGAATTATTGGACTAGTTCACAAAAAAAATAAAAAAAAATAATAATAATAATATTATTTGAGATCATAGAATCCGCTTCATGACCAAATTGTGTCTGAACATAACAGTATTTAAGACCGTATAAAAAAAAAAAAATCAGAATTGACAACTGTTTTATGCTGCTATGTGAACTTAATTTAGTGATGCATACATAAATACCTCATTATGACAAATCGGAATAAAGTTTCCCATAATGCACTGTGATGAAGAGTTAGAAACAGACCCATTCTGTTGTATTATGAAGCATATCAGCAATCTGCTCACGTTGCCATGTGAGAGAGAGAGAGAGAGACAGTCATGTGCCAGTGACACATCTCAGTTCATTCTAACAGCCTCCACTGGATCATCGGCAGGCCACATGTACCCCACTGCAGATGAAGACATTACTATGAAAGAACACACACAGTTACAGATGTGCATTCAACAGAAAATGCACATCCGTACAAATGCATGCCCACATACCCTATACAACATTATTATAAATAGACGCCCATGCAGTCGTATTACTTCCCACATGATTATGACACTAACAACCCTGTTATGCATACCACGTTGTCGCTGTATCTATCTTAAATGTATCTACATATTGGTCAGTCACACATTTGTTCTCTAACTAGCTCATTCCAGAGAGGAGAGCATGACTTTCTGCAAACAGTATTTTCATACCGGAATGCTCCTCTCACCCTTGGCTAATCAGTGAGCATGTGTCTAAAAGCCATGGATAAAGCCATTACAACACTAGGTCTAAAAACAGCTGAGAAGAAAATCTGTCTCGCTGGTGGCGGACTGGGCATGGGCCAACTAGACAACAGTCTGTGCAGTGCACACACACACACACACACACACACACACACAGATGCTGCCACCAAGATACCTCAGAGGTGTTAACATATGACTTTTGTCATAGAGAAAGAGCTCTCGCTCTCTGGAGAGGCGGTACAAAAGGGAAACGATCCTGCAATTTTACATGCTTGGGAACATGTTCCAATTTCACTCAATTACCCTCCATCTAGGACTCTGCTTTTCACTGCCACCACACTTCAAACTGCTCTCCATAAAGACGGAGACAGACAGGTACTTTAGAATATCTCCATCACCTTCATGCTGAACACTGTCAGGCAGAGAATCAGAAACACTTTTAACAAAGGCCTCGCTCGCACTCTCTCACTCCTGTCCTCAGTCTTACAGCCACTTTCCTCCCTTTCCCCCAACTACTGTCTTTTTCCTGCAGTGCACACTTTTGCAGTAGACCTATACCCTTTCCTCCAACACATCTAAATATAACCAGCCTCACAAAGAGCTTTGGCTGATAATGAGTTATAATAAGAGTTGACGTGACGGATTGTGAATAAAACTTTGATCTTTTTTTAATATTTACCCACCACATTCAATAAGAGAAGTAACAATCTGAAAGAATGAGATTCTTAAACATAAATTATTAGTCATACTACATCCGACTGAAACATAACTGTATTGCAGTGAAAGTTGAAAAAGAGTTTATGAAATCCAAAGTGGACTTTAAAAGTTATTAGACAGCACAGATTCTGAATTGATGACTAGTCATGTAGCAGCATATCTCTCTCTCTCTTTTAGAAAGTACTAAATTTGTCCTCCCCTAGTTTGTGGAAGATACTCATTATTTTTTATGAGGGCAGTTTCGCCTGGCCATTATGCAAAGACAATAAACTATAGCTGGATGTGTAAAACAACATCAGTCGCATTTATTATAATAATTCAATTTTGTTAATTGAAATAAATCTGAAAACAAATCAAATTTAAACAATAGATGAAAACTAAAAACAAATAATCATATAAAATGAGACATTTTGCCTTACTATCTGAAATAAAATGTCTAAGTACTAAATTCACTAACAAAAAAACAAAAAAACAAAAAAATTAAAGCTAAATAGAAATAATAAAGAAACCAAATAAAAATGACAAAAGGCACATACAATTAGAATGTAAACTACAATGAAAATGAAAACTGAAAATATTAAAAAATTGCTTATTCAAAATATTAGTAAATATTATAATAGTATAATAACACTGAAGCACAACAGGTCAAGAACCTGAACTCATTTGGGACTTCTTCCAACAGGAAAACGATTAATAAGCAAATCATAAATACTGCTTGTATTTATAAAAACTTTTACATGTCTTATAAAACGTTTACATAACATCATCTCTTCTTCTTTTTATTCAACAAATAAACAAAATTAAATCTTCATTTTAAACTCTGTGACTTTTAAGCCTATGACCCTTTTATTTCTCAGCTATTCCAAGATCATGAGCCACTTTAACACATGTGTATATCTTCATTATGCGTGTAGGAGGGTGAATATAAAACAGAAGGTCAGCAAGATATTCCATAATTAAAACCATCCACCATTTAATGAAAAACCAATGACTTACCCAGCACTCCCAGCCTATAGTTCAGGGTCACCACGATTACATTTCCATAGCTGGCCAGAATGCTGCCGTCAATCATATTGCCTGTACCTTCCATGTAGGACCCACCATGGATGTACACCATAACAGGTCTCAGCCCATTCTCATCATGGATGTCTGCAGGTAGAAAAAAAAAATAAGATCTTAACATACCGTTAACATTTATATGTTTGTTGAATGACTAAACAACCTTTTTTTTCTCCAGCTGTTAGTGGCCTGACAAAAGCACTGGCAGTTTTTCTCAGTAAATGGACATCAATACAACTCATTAGGTTTTACACTTTGACAATCAATTCCAATAGTAAAATCCCAAATGAGAAGATCAGACAAATATCCCAAATTAAATTGCCTCTTTATACCATTACCAAGGTGCATTTTCATTGAAACTAATCCTACCTCAGTGTGATTCACCTCAAGATGTGGCTCATGCACAGCGAAGTCCGTAATTGCTGCAGATGAGTTGGTTATTTGTGGGTCTCTCTTGTTCTGATTAAAGCCCCTGATTAGTACATGTGTAGGAGGCTGATTATAAAACAGGAGACATGAAGCCCTAGGATGAGGAAGTCTTTGATAGCATTTTACAAATTGCAGGCAGGCTTACCAGACTATAGATTTTTCACATCAGATATCTGATGGTCTTGAACAGAACAGCTGATGCAGATACAGATGTGTCCCTTTGTTTAAACACAATAAAAACACACACTGAGAGTTTCTGGATGAGCGCTCTTACTGCAGACACTAAACATTAATATCAATAAATGCATATTAAGGGAAGCTGTAAACAACTAGCCTATATTTACACCCACTGGCCACTTTATTAGGTACACCTGTTCAACTGCTTGTTAACAAAACCTTCAAATCAGCCAATCACATTGCAGCAATTCAATACATTTAGGTATGTAGACATGGTGAAGACAGTCTGCTGAAGTTCAAACCGAGCATCAGAATGGGGAAGAAAGGTGATTTAAATGACTTTGAACATGGCATAGTTGTTGATACCAGACAGGCTGGTCTGAGTATTTCACAAACTGCTAATTTGCTGGGATCTCTAGGGTTTACAGAGAATGGTTCGAAAAAGAGAAAATATCCAGTGAGCGGCAGTTCTGTGAGCAGAAAATGCCTTGTCAGAGGAGAATGGCTAGACTGGTTCAAGCTGACAGAAAGACAGCGGCAACTCAAATAACCACTCGTTACAACCGAGGTATGCAGAAGAAGATCTCTGAAAGCACAACACGTTGAAACTTGAAGCTGATGGGCTACAGCAGCAGAAGACCACAGCGGGTGCCACTCCTGTCAGCTAAGAACAGTAAACTGAGGCTACAATTTGTATGGACTCACCAAAATTGGACAATAGAAGATTGGAAATAGTTGTCTGGTCTCGATTTCTGCTGCGACATTTAGATGATAGGGTCAGAATTTGGTGTAAAAACAACATGAAAACATGGATTCATCCTGCCTTGTATCAATGGTTCAGGCTGCTGCTGATGTGCTGGTGTTGGGAGATATTTTCTTGGCACACTTTGGGCCCCTTAGTACCTGTTGAGCATTGTTTAAATGCCACAGCCTACCTGAGTATTGTTGTTGACCATGTCTATGGTCAGACCATGATAATGTGCCATGTAACGAAGCTCAGATCATCTTAAACTGGTTTCTTGAACATGACAATGAGTTCACTATACTCAAATGGCCTCCACAGTCACTAGATCTCAATCCAGTACAGCGCCTTTGGGATGTGGTGGAAAGGGAGATTTACATCATGGATTTGCAGCCAACAAATCTGCAGCAATGTCAATATGGACCAAAATATCTGAGGAATGTTTCCAGCACCTTGTTGAATCTACACCATGAAGAAATAAGGCAGTTCTGAAGGCAAAAGGGGGTCCAACCTGGTACAAGCAAGGTGTACTTAATAAAGTGGTCGTGGGTGTATATATACATTCCACAGAGGGAAGAAAGTCATACAGATTTGGAATGACATGAGGGTGAGTAAATGAAAACAGAATTAAAATTTTGGGGTAAACTATCCCTTTAAGATAATTTACTTTTTTAAAGGTGAACAGAAACACCTATCTAACAACGACTTAAAACTGATTCAAATATTCCTCAAAGAAAAAAGAAAAAATACTGGTTACAAGCAAGTCATAACTTTTATTTATTTATTTAATTATTTTTTTTCAGGGTGAATAATCAGTGTGCATCTTTAATTAAGTGTGTTTTAATGCTCTGTGGTTTGCACTGTTATTCTTATTAGGGTAATGTGTATACTAATATTTCATCAAACAGCTTCCTCAGCCTGCTTACAACAGCTGATGGAATGAGAGCTAATGGCTTCAAAAAGGGGTTATGACATTCGGTGTGTGTGTGTGTCTGTTTGCATCCACCTCTGTAAACACACTCACTGCAAACAGCCTCCTCTCAGTGGGAGTGGTATATCTGCATTAGAAACACCCTTGTTGGCTTCTCAGACTGGAGTGGAGTCCAACAGGGGTACGACGTAAGACCCAGAGTAATTGGTATTCAGCCAAAGACACCTCACTGTACTTTGATTATTGGTTTCTGTTGCATATGGCTTCATTAACTGCTCAGAGGTGGTGGACAAACACGCAGACACATACACACACACAGCGTGGTCTGCTGCAGTGCTGGCACAATCCTACAGCGCCTGTGGGCAGGCGAGCAGAATTAAAGGCAAGTCTGTGTATCGTTCTCCCCCGCAAAGGAAAACAGAGAGAAGGAGAGAGAGGGAAACAGAGTGAGAGAGAAAGATAAAGAGAGGGAGAGCTGGAAAACAACCCGTCGTGACAGGTGATTAATCTCGGTCGGGTTCTGAGTGGGCGCCAGGCAGCGCACTAATGCGAGTGCATCTATTTTGCAGCTCTTTGCTGGTGTACAACTTTCAGCGTCGCAGCGCCTTTATTGCGCTGGACCATCAGCAAGGCCATAACCTCCTGTCTAATACTCTGCCTCTCAACCAGGCAGTCTAATAGCTGTGCAAGGGCTTCTCGTTTAGTGGAGATGTTACACAAGCATTGTGTTGATGTTTCACCCTTTTATACCATCTAGGATTACCTATCCTGACCCATTACTACCAATGCTGGCAAAACTTTCCACCCACGTAATTGGAGAGCTCTATTATGGAGAATCTTAACTGACAAGCCTCCACAGTCACTAGATCTCAATCCAGTACAGCGCCTTTGGGATGTGGTGGAAAGGGAGATTTACATCATGGATTTGCAGCCAACAAATCTGCAGCAATGTCAATATGGACCAAAATATCTGAGGAATGTTTCCAGCACCTTGTTGAATCTACACCATGAAGAAATAAGGCAGTTCTGAAGGCAAAAGGGGGTCCAACCTGGTACAAGCAAGGTGTACTTAATAAAGTGGTCGTGGGTGTATATATACATTCCACAGAGGGAAGAAAGTCATACAGATTTGGAATGACATGAGGGTGAGTAAATGAAAACAGAATTAAAATTTTGGGGTAAACTATCCCTTTAAGATAATTTACTTTTTTAAAGGTGAACAGAAACACCTATCTAACAACGACTTAAAACTGATTCAAATATTCCTCAAAGAAAAAAGAAAAAATACTGGTTACAAGCAAGTCATAACTTTTATTTATTTATTTAATTATTTTTTTTCAGGGTGAATAATCAGTGTGCATCTTTAATTAAGTGTGTTTTAATGCTCTGTGGTTTGCACTGTTATTCTTATTAGGGTAATGTGTATACTAATATTTCATCAAACAGCTTCCTCAGCCTGCTTACAACAGCTGATGGAATGAGAGCTAATGGCTTCAAAAAGGGGTTATGACATTCGGTGTGTGTATGTGTCTGTTTGCATCCACCTCTGTAAACACACTCACTGCAAACAGCCTCCTCTCAGTGGGAGTGGTGTATCTGCATTAGAAACGCCCTTGTTGGCTTCTCAGACTGGAGTGGAGTCCAACAGTGGACGGCGTAAGATCCAGAGTAATTGGTATTCAGCCAAAGCCACCTCACTGTACTTTGATTAGTGTTTTCTGTTGCATATGGCTTCATTAACTGCATAGAGGTGGTGGGCAAACACGCAGACACATATACTCACACACACACACACACACACACAGCATGGTCTGCTGCAGAGCTGGCACAATCCTACAGCGCCTGTGGGCAGGCGAGCAGAATTAAAGGCACGTCTGTGTATCGTTCTCCCCCGCAAAGGGAAACAGAGAGATGGAGAGAGAGGGAAACAGAGTGAGAGAGAAAGAGAAAAAGAGGGAGAGCTGGAAAACAACCCATCGTGACAAGTGATTAATCTCGGTTGGGTTCTGAGTGGGCGCCAGGCAGCGCACTAATGCGAGTGCATCTATTTTGTAGCACCTTTATTGCGCTGGACCATCAGCAAGGCCAGAACATCCTGTCTAATACTCTGCCTCTCAACCAGGCAGTCTAATAGCTGTGCAAGGGCTTCTCGTTTAGTGGAGATGTTACACAAGCATTGTGTTGATGTTTTACCCTTCAATACCAGTCTAGGATTACCTATCCTGACCCATTACTACCAACGCTGGCAAAACTTTCCACCCACGTAATTGGAAAGCTCTATTATGGAGAATCTTAACTGACAAACTTGACCCAGTAGAAGCAATTTAGGTACTAATTTCATGGGCTCTTTCCAAGAAAACAATTTAAATCATTCATCGCCACAGCTATTGGAAGGAGAACTATCCAGAAACACATTACAAGAATGGAGTGCTGCCATGAACTTGTTTAGAGTAGATGCCGATACACATCTTAAGGCTCTTCACAGCAAAACTCATAGATCAAGGAGACATATTGGAGGGGCTGTTAGCAGAGAAGGCAGCACATCTATGCACATTCTACATCCCAGGTGTGTTGAAACTCAACTGGCATCAGAAAGCTGCGGAGTTGGCAAACATTTTGGCCTTTGGGATTGATGAGTTAGGGACTGCTCACCCAGAATGAGTTCTTACATGCAAAAACAGCTACTGCAGATGCAGTGGAAAGGAACCAAACATCTTGTTTTTAAAAGTGAACTTCATTTCAATCATTTCTTTCATTAATGCATTTGGCAGAAGCTTTTATCAAAAGAAAAATCATTATTGGTCTTCATTT